TCTTTTCCTTCTCATCACTGTTATTTCAAGTGATAAAATATTCCAACAAGCAGATGATCTAGTCCCTGCCCTGAAAGCAGCTTAAAATCTAGTTGGTGAGATCATACCACCGCAAATGAAAGAAGTTTATAGCTATGAAGAACACTGCAGAATTTGCCACAAGTGAATGAAGCCAGTGCATTGTAGTGGTTAAGAAATAGTGTAGAAATGGAAAACTGGACCATGAAAGTCTTGGGCACTAACAGGTAAGTTTCATGGCTATTTATTTTCTCAGTGGGTTTTCAATAAATATTTATGGAATGAATAGGATGACAGGACAAAAACAGGCATTCAGTATGAAGCAGAGGATCTCACAGCAGAGAGACACGCAAGCACAAATCATTTCTTACATGTGGGAAAGGAAAGCAAATATGTCAAATATACCACAAACTCCAGCAAAGGTGAGGTTTACTAACTTCCTTGGCAAGGAAGGCAAAAGGAAGAACTCCTAGGGTTCTAACAGTCTTATCTGATACAAACCAACAGATCGATTCCTTTAAACAAAGAATTATTAAATTAAAAACATGTATAGCCACCCCAGTCTATACTTCCATCCTACATCTTCATCACTCTCAGGTTTAGCTCCTTGGTTTTCTCTGAGCACACTATGTTCTTTCATGTTTTCAACCCTTTGTACATGGAACTCCTCTGCCGCCTCAAAGCCCACAGCTCTCTTCAGTCAGCCTTAACCTTCTTCCAGGCATCAAGAAAAGTACATGAGCTTGGGTATAGGAGACCTTGGTCAAAATCCTGTCAAATGCCTTCCTCTTACCAAGCCTTCCCCTTCTCTTCCAGGCAGCAAATCACTCCATCTTCTGTGCCTTCATCCTACTTTGTTTATTCTTCTTTTAAGGTACTAACCACATCTTACTGTGATTTACTTGCTTTGCGTACCTGAATTCATTAGCATGAATGATTTAACAAGGGTAGATTCCATAGGTCTAAGATTTTTCTATGTATGGTGGCCTTGGCATGCAACACAAACAGGCATTCAATTCAATGTTTGTTGAATGAATTTATTGCATGTTTCCTTATAAAAGCATCACTCAACAACACAATTAATTCAGTAAGATTTACAGAATTTGTAGATATTCTCACCACTGGGCCTTTTCTTGTGCTGACCCTTGCTAACATCAAGGGTTTAACAATAAAATGGAAAATATCTTAGAGGGTTTAATTAATGAAACCCAGGTAAACATCTTTTTAATGATTGACCATAATACAACAAAATCTCAAGTACTTGAAAAATGTATGAATAACGTATATTCTTGAGTTGTTCTTCTCAAATATTTATTAGTCAGGTTTCTCACAGGAGCTAGACAATGGTCCATTCAAAGCTGGAGTGTCTATGCTGCTGAAGAGAAATCCCCATGCTCTGGCTATCAGATGCACAGGGGACAAAACTGACAGTTTTAGGGGTTAATAAATTAAATGTAATTTCTTCTGGGGGGGACAAAAGATTTTCCTTAAGAAACAACTTTTAGGCTGATCAGTTGTGTAAAATGCAGTACTACAGAATTTTTCAAATGTAAACAGTTTATTACCAGTTTATAATTTCACCATGGGAAAAAAAAAAAAAACAAACCTTAAAGTCTTTTTTATGGAATGTCTGATTCTCAATGGCACTGTCAGTTGGTGAGTAGTTGAGTTTGAAGAGATAAAGCTAGGGCCAGAATAGGGAAAGTTGTGAATGCTAACCTAAGTGTTTTGAACTTTATCGAGTATTCAGGGGAGCCACTGATGAAATATTTCAGCAGAAAAATGGCCAAGGGACCTAGTTTTCATTATTGTGGCACTGATGTGAGGAATGGCTTAAAGTTGGAGGAAGTGAGGTAGGGGGTACGAGGTAACACAGTCTTTTACTAGAGTGATGACTATGAACATATTTAGAAATAGATGCAACTAACATTCAAAGTAGAACTGACAGGAGCCAGTAAGAAGCTACATATGAAGAATGGAGAGTGTCAACTTGCTAACCACTGAGGTTTATGGTTGGCAAATCCCAGACTGGAATAGGAGAAGGCAGCCACCACTGAGAAAAAAAGCTTATCAGGGGAAAGACAAAGCCCAAATTAGCACTGTGATCTCCTGATGCCCCATCCAATTTTCTTTTCACTATAGCCTCTGCCTGATCTGGAATTTTAGCTGGTCTGAAAGACCGTAAGCCTCAGCATACAACTTGGTATGGCAGAACAAAACTTCAGTTGAATTACTTTGAGGGTTTTTGTTTTTCTTAGACCTTGGTATAATTCTAGCTGTAGTGCCAACTAGCTTTGATCTTGGGCAAATCATTTTTATTCAATTTATTTTTTTATTCAATTTATTTCTTTTGTTAATTTTGCACAGATATATCTATCTCCAAATATAATTTGAGAGTGGCAATGTGGACAATAATATTCATCTTTTGCCACTGATTGCTTATAATACTGAAGAAGTTCCTCTGTAAAATGGTGTCAAATTAATGAATATAAATAGCAAGAACCACTTGTTAGAAACAAAATGTTGTTAAAAACACAAACAGAACCTAAACTGCTTACATTAATTTAGGCTCCCAGGGAAGCTTTCCTACCTTTTATTAGTCCTATGGTTCCTTACAAACATTATCTAACATTCATTAAGTACCAGAGAGCTAAAGTCACATGGTACCTTTAGAGAACACATCCATTTCACAGGAGAACCTTTCCCCCAGGCTTTTCATCATCCTTTCTCCCAGATTTTATGTGGCAGCAATGAAGGGCAAAGGAGACCCTGAGAAACACCTTTCAGTTTTAAGTTAACACAAAGCATGGCTTGGTGTGGTTTCTGTTCTTCACTGCAGAGAAATGCTGCACAATTCATACTTACATTTCAGGTTTCCTCACCTTCCTGTGACTGGTATGACCAGTATTCAGTCCTTACTCCTGTGCAAACTACTTATGGCACAGGCAGCCCACAGAGATAGGTTTTTAGACTTGCAGGAGTCTCCCTTTACAGCATTCAGCTTGAGTATAAACTAAAAGTTCTTGCTCCAGGAGCTCTGGCCAGCATACCCCCTGTCTGGGCACCTGTAGGTTATTGGCTCCAGCACAGGGAAGCAGGAGAGCAAAACCATCAGAAGAAAAGCAAAACTAAGAATGGAAGAGAGGAGAGGTCATAAGGACAAGGGGGTATAATCCGTGACTAATACACACTGAGATGGCTCTTCTATTTACTTTGCAAAATGTCTTTGGAGGCAATTCCAAAAGAAAAGTTTCAAAAATGTTCTAAGTAATACTAGTGTCACTAGAGTAAGTATGTGACTTCCCAAGAGTACCACTTTAAAAGATAGCAATCATTTGATTCTATGAGTTATGATAGATTTATGAAAAAAAAATTTCATTTTTAATACAAAAAGCATTGTTGAAGAGATGGCTATAACCCATGGAATACAAGGAAATTTGTAGGACGTGTAGGTGGGTTAGAAGCATTTTTAATTTTACAGTATAAGGACCAAATTCAGCACTAGGTACTTCTGCATCAGCCACTATTAAAAACTTTGAGGCTGCAGGACACTTCCTGAAAAGATTAAAAACAAAAAACTGCAAATGCACATGTAATTTCACAGCAAGCCTGCCTCACAGAATATACTGGTGTTTGGGTGAAGCAGGATGAATGGCCCACCTCAATTTTATGTACAGAAGTAGCATAGTGGGGGCCCACCTCAATTTTATGTACAGAAGTAGCATAGTGGGGGAGTAACAAATTTTTGTAGTTCAAGAGACCCAGTTAACATCCTCCTGGCTTCAACATTTCACAGCTGAATAACCCTCTGTAAGTCATTTAACTTCTCTGAGACTCAGTTTCCTTACCTGTAAAATGCCTAATGAAGTGCCTGGAAAACAGAAGATATTCAATAAATATCAGTTTCTCCATAGTTTTCTTCTTTTCAAACAAAGGGTCACAACCCATTGGTAGATTATGAAATCAATTTGGTAGGTTGCAACCAGCAGTATTTTAAAAACTGAAATAAAAAATATTGGAGTACACTATACGTAATGGTATTCTCCATTATAAGTAAACTGAGTTTTGATATAAATGCATTTTTTTACTGTGGGTTACAACCACAAAGTTTGAAAGTATGCTCTACAGAAAAATTTTCAGATTATTATATCACAAAGTTTTAAAAAAACAAAAAAGGTCTTAGGAGCACTGCCTTTATTCCAATGGACCGCTATACACCACCCCCCTCATTCCGCACTTTCCCCCCTGTGATTTAGTTTTATAACTGGAAGTTTATACCTCTGTAAATTTTAAGAACTTAACCAAAGTAACCCTTAACCTTCTAACTTGAATGTATTAAAAATAAGACATGAATCACGGAGGAGATGAATTTAATCTGATACTCTAGGGCATTAAATTCAGTTTAAGATTGGTTTCTGTGTCATATTAATTCATACCTCTAAACACTTGATAGTTTATTATAGTTGATTAAACACTTCTAGAAAGTTCTACCAAAAGTTAGCTTTTAGATTCTATTACAGGGAAATTAGGCAGAATTTCTAAATGGTTTTAAATTATAAGACTTTTTAAAACAACTAAAATTTGCCTGAGCATGAAGGCTGGTAGGGTAATATTCCAATCCTGATGAGTAGTAAAAATCAAAAGGCCTATTTGAGCACATACAGTGGTGTCCCAAACTGGCTGATGAAAAATGAGAGATCCTCAAACAAAATATAAACTTCAATTACAGGCCTCCTCTCTCCTCCAGTTCCCAGTGTTAAACTAGCCTGATAGGATAATAAGTCCCTAGGGCCATTAAGATGGTGGGCTAAAGGTAGGGGCACCTGGGTGGCACAGTCAGTTAAGGAACCAACTCTTGGTTTTAGCTCGGGTCATGATCTCAGGGTTGTAAGATCAAGCCCCGCATCAAGTTCCATGTGCTCAGTCTGGAGTCTGCTTAAGACTCTCTCCCTCTTGCTCTGCCCCTCCCTCTCACGCTGTCTCTAAAATAAATAAATCAACCTTTAAAAAAAAAACATGGCGGGCTAAAAAGCATAGCCAATTGCGGGTTGGCAGAGTGGGAATGATATGGAGCAAGGAAGATTGGGCCATGTTGAAGGGAAGAATACTCAGAAATTACAGAATTCAATAATTACAGCTGAATCTTGATGGAACTGTATCTTAAATTCTTTGTTTTAGCTGACCAGGCCAGACTGGCTATTGTTAGAGTTACCCTATGGGACTGAAGTTTGGCAATCTTGTTTAAAAAAGCACCCTGCATGAGTCTGATCCTCATTCTGGTTTGAATACCCCATGTTAAAGGGACAGCGAAGATCAGAAACTATTTTAAAAGGTGGAGTTCCAAAGTAATTATCCTAGCCTTACAGGTATCCAGTATCAAATACCGTATCAGAACTGGACACTTATTCAAGGCACTTCCTTCCTGGCATTATACTGAAGATATAATTCGCAGACAGCAATACTTGATATTTTCCAGTTATTTAATGCCAGTAAGAAATGATGCTTTCTCTTCATTAGAATTCATTGGTAAAAGTTAAAAAAAAAAAAAGTGTAAGAAAGAAAAGTCTGGCTATATTAGACAAAGAAAAGTAGCAAGCAAACAATAAAAATTATTAAGAATAACTCAACAAGAGAGAAAAGATAAGCATTCAACCACCTGAGGAATCTGTTTGGCTCCTGAGCTCACGCATTTTGTGGTACAGGTGCCCATTCCTCTACTCTCAGAAAACAGTAAAGATTAAGGCAAAAGGTGGCTCCTTCCTATTTCAAATGAACTGGGGGTACAGGATGAGGCTACCTGTGATTTTCAATTCTTTTTTCACAAAATTAAAACCTTTTTGTTATTTGGGTTGGGCTGGGCCATGTTTGCTGTCAATGTGAAGTGTTGGGATCAGCACCACAAATCCTTCATCAGGATCACTCTTGGCACCAGGCTTTGTCTATCATCTTGAATATGAGGAAAGGTGAGCAAGAACGCCACTCCTGGGAAGAGATAACAGCTGGGAAAAGTAAAGCATAGGAGACAGCAAAGCCTGGGGAAAAGGATGGTAGTTAACAGAAGTGAGGTAGAAAGCTAGTTCTTAGCTCCCCAAACGGCCAGCTGAAAAGACTTAGGGTCAGAGATTCCCTGCATGGCCGGTACATCAGTCTCTTAAAATTGTAAGATGCCCCAAGAAATGATCTGGTACCCCCTGCCACCTGCTTATTTTTTACCTCAAACTCTAACAATGCTGGAAATATTGGAGATTTTCTTTCTCTCTTTTGTCTAGAGGTTATAGGAAAGGATGAATGGATATGGGAGACAATACAAGAAAGCAGATTAGGAGAAAAGTCCTCATTACACATGGGTAGAATTCTCCCCACAAGTCAAAGAACTTTGCAGAATTACAAGGGAGGGAAGGCAGAGGGCACTAGATCTTTGAGTTGTTAAGAGACAGGCTGACAGACCAAGCTTAGTGACTTGGCTTAATAGTCTCCTATCACTTGAGATTCTGTGTTCTTTATTTCAAAAGATAGAAGGAAGAGTTCAAAGAAGCCAGTGTCACAAATTAAGGTATCTCAAAGAGAAGCTGCGCCTCTCTTTCCATTTTCTTACACTATTAGTGTCCTTCACCAGAAAATACAGGTGGACCAAACTGTAATAGGGTTCACCAAATGGACTCCATTATGTGGTTCACCTGTGCCCCTCACTAGATCCTGATTTCCTTATTTGATATGAAAGGCTCTTGAGCTCCCCATTCTTTTCTTTGTTAACAGGCCTAAATAACCTCCTATATATAGGAGATCAATAAGCATATTTATAATACAGTTAGTCTTAGGGTCTCCAAGTCAGGGTTATGGAATACACCAGCCTTCCATAACCCATCATGTCCACACATCTCGAGTCCTTATCAAAGTTAAAAATTCATTTTTTACATTTCTAGGCAGAAAATCTGGTCCTTGGCAGTCTTTGAACTTTACCTGACATTACACACCCTCAGCCCAGGCTCCTCGATCTCTAAGGTCTCCCTAACATTCCAGCAAACAACAAAATATATCTACTTAGCACAGTTCAATCCCATTTGAGCATCTATAGCCACTATCTTGACATAATCATGTTCCAAAAGCTGACTGAGTGTCCAACAGCAGCAAAGGTCCTCATTAGGATACACACGTTGGCGCCAATAATGCTGAAGTTTGGTTTTTAACTGCATTTTTTGTCAGTTTGGCTGGGAAGATCTGGACAGCTGGAAGTGAGCTTCTCCATCATTTTCTGTTTCTTTCTTTGTATCAATTTTCCACCTGTGAAGCCCAACACCCCACCACCAAGTGCAGCTGCAATTCCTGCCACTTTGAAACCTGCAAGGAGGCCAATCGGACCCCCTACCACTCCTCCAATGAGTGCACCTGCCACAGGCAGAGCTGCCAGCTTGTATTTTGCAGCCTGTATAAAAAAAAAAAAATTCAATTTAGAAATTGAGTTGAGAATATCCGCCTGTGGTGATGTGCATTTTCCTCTCATTACTCCTGGCAATGCCTCTTTAACTCTTGGTACATAATGAACCTTAGCGCTCAGGAGAGGAGGCAGTATTCCACAGGTACCACAATTGTTCCCGATCTCAGAATTTGGAGAAATGAGCTACGAAAAGTGGACTACCACAAACGGATTTTACTTGCAAAACAATCCACTAACTATCTAGCAAGCTTACTTAAACCATTTCAGCTGCTACAGATAACCCCCAAAGCTTTTATGTTGCATAGACATTATTCTGTGCTATATACCTGGGGTTCTATGGGAAATAGATGGTCCCACTCCCCACGTACACTCTTGCCCCTACTGGATTCTGGTGACACTTTACTCTCTGAACCTCTGCAAATATTCCCTTATAATACCAAAATGCCTTATAGTGGGGCTTTGGTTTATCCTCTGAAAAATTTCTCTCCCGACAGAACAAATCTTAGAGTAGAATATTACAACAGTCATTGATTTCTTGCACTACCAATGTGTCATTTGTTCCTTATTTCCTTAATTGCTGGTTCGCTCCACATTAAAGAGAGCAGATCAATTGGGTTAATACAAGAGATTCCTGGGAGCCAGAGTACCATTGATTTGTCAGCAGGAGCAGAATCTTACCTTCCCCAAGTTTTTGGTTCCCTCTTCAACATTCACAGCAGCTCTGTTGACATGGTCTTCAATGCTGTCAATCTTCTCCTGCTGAGACTAGATGCAAAGGAATTATGAGTGAGCATTCCTGCTGGGGAGCAGCAGTCAGCCAATACACACTATTTTAATTCCTGTAATCAGGATCCCGTGTACTACAGCCTTGCAGTCTGAATAGTGGTTCATTAATAGCATCTGATAAACTATGCCGAAAGTACAAATTCATTTGTATAAAAAAGAAAAGAGGGTGATTTAATTATTAGATAATAAAAGGGTGGCACCTTTATAGGAAAAAGCATCTCACACTAACATTCATTCAAACATACAAACATATTATTCTCCAAATGAATCTACTTTGTCAGAGAAGAAAAATCCAAATAAGCATTTACACGTCGTGTTGAGGTTGATGATAAAAAACACAAACAAAATCAAACAAAAAACTTCTTTAACTTATCTTCTTTGAAGATTCAAAGATTTAAAATAGGCAAATTTACCTTAGGAGTAAAATGCCCTTGGATCCAATAAAATCAAATGATTACTTTTAAAAATGAGAATACAATTTGGTGTGGTCTATCACAAAAACTTTCTACTTGTGATATACAGTAGGGAGCAGTGAATGAATTTACTGTTCTGAACTCACACCTGTACACTTTAATACATTTTAAAATCATGACAAGTTAAAATGTTTCAGATCAAAGATATTAATAAAGCATTCTACAAAAAAATGGCAACACCCGTGCTGACACAATAAAACTTGTGACTCATGGAACCTCTGGGTGAATGGGAGGAATGAATGACTTTCCCCCTCAGAGGTGTGAAGCCCCATTACATTTCTCAGAACTGGTTACTGGACCCCAGCTCAAACACCTCCAGTGATAGGAACTCATTACTTGCCACAGGAACACAATCCCATTTTAAATAAAATTTAGACAGAATTTATATACAATAATTTTGAGGGTATAGAATGATGAATTCTGACAAATGTATAAAACTCAAGTAACCACTATCGCATGAATATATAGACTAGGATTTTTTTTTGTTGGTTTCGAAAGATTCATTTATTTACTTTAGAAAGCAAAAGAGAGTGCACGTGCACACGGTGGGGAGGGATAGAAAGAGAGGGAGTGGGAGAGTCTTAAGCAGACTCCATGCTGAGCGCAGAGCCTAACATGGGGCTCAATTCCATGATCCTGAGATCACAACCTGAGCCAAAACCAAGAGCTGGATGCCGACTGAGCCACCCAGGCACCCCAGGGGTTTTTGTTTTTTTAATTCACAGAAGAAAGAAGAGAATCTCTCTTTGATCCCAGCTAAATCCCACTTCTTTAGTGTAACTGTGAAATAATTCAACTTTAATCCTGAAGCATTTAATTGCCCTCTTAACACTAAATCGGATATGAACACTCTTCTAACTCCAAACATCATATGAGATCTTGAAACACAACACAGCTAATTTTCCCCCCACAGGAGCTTCCTATCAGCATTACTGACATCCTTCTCTTCTGATTCACCAAGTTTGTACCTTTTCAGTGGTAGACCTTTTATGGTATCCCTTCATTCCTGTATTCTCCACTGCTATTCTTGAAATCTCTAACACAACCCCGAAAAAAAGTCCTTTATCTGTTTTCCTTTTAACATTTCCGTCAGAGACAAAAGTACAACAGTGATTCTCACATGTGAGTATGCACCAGAATCGCCCAGAAAACTTACTGAAGCACAGATTGCTGTGTCCTACCCCCTGAGCTTTTGATTCTGTAGACTTTAGGTGAAGCCTGAGAATTTGCGTGAAATATGAGTCCCCAGGTGATGCTGTAAGTCCATGCTTCTCACACTTTAAAAACCACTAACATAAGTACACAATCAGATTAAGGGCACAACCTTCTTGGCCAGATGTCCTGTGTTCAAATCCCAGTACTGTGTGCCCTTGGACAAATTACTCAAGCTCTCCAGGTGTCAATATTCTCTCACAAGTACAATGATATACTTCACGGAGTTGAAGTGAGGATAAAATGAGATAGGGTCTGTAGAGTGTGAGGAGAAAAATAGAAAAAGTCATCCTGATCTTCTCAAGAAAGCTTAACGCCCATCTTTCTTTTCTAAAAAGTATATTAAACTTCCTATGAGGCTTGAAAATTCTTGGGCATTAAAACATTAGATCTTTCCTAGGCATTCATTCATTCATTGTTTTCATTTTCCTCAGACAATAAACTTACTTAATGTTAGTTCTCTTCTTTCAACTCATAGAAACATAAGTCCAACACTAGTAACATCCAACTTGTTGGGATTTTTGACACTGAATTTCTGTCATTGTTTCTATTTGGGACATCCTAACACTTTCCATTCTTGCCTGAAAGTCTGTGCTAGGAGATAAATCACAGGCGTGATCACCAACCTCCACATCCCGATGAGCTGAGGGGTAGAGGGAAAATAGCCAATACACCTCCTTTCTCTCAGACCCCAAATAATCTTTGTATACCTACCAACCTCCCCTTTTTGCTTCTGATTTGCTTATGTTTGCTTTCATCTGCCCAGGCCTCCCACATTTGATAATCTTCAAACTCCCTTTCTGACATTTATACTTTGGCCCCTCATACATGTTCTCAGCATCCCTTTAACAGGGAGTTGAACCATATATGAAAGACACTAACATAAAGACTCTTCTCTTTGCAAAGGGAAAGAATTCTCAAAAGACTCTAAGGCTATGTCGATGGATTTCATTTTAAAAAATAGTGAAATAGGTCCCCTTGTCTCCCCCCCCCCAAAATAAATGAATCTTAATAAGCAGTTATAAGAGCATCTAAGATTCTGAAAAAGAAATGTGATTTATTAAGTTAATGTTGGTTAAGTAGAATGCAATTTGGGCATTTGAAGTCAAAACTAATGAACTGTTTCTCCCTTGAATACTTGTTGTGGACACTTGTATACCCAGCATCCTCTCTATCAAGCAACAGTAATACTTTCAACAAATCCATTCCCCCATCTATTTACATCAATAAAAATGCTCTCCCTTGCAGAATCTTGCTAGTGGTTGTATAGTTTTATTAATGTGGTAAAAGCTATGGGTTTAAGAGGCTATTGCCAAAACTGTGGTTATTTTCTTTTATTCCCGACTCTCAATTACAACCATCTTTCGAGGCTAGCTCTAGTCTCAGATCTTGGCCAATCCAGGTTAACACTGAGCTATCCCAGTTCTGAAGTCCAAAAGCATGTAATCTATAATTCTTAATCACAGGCAATAAATAATACACAGAGAAAAGCTCAGAAACATACAAACACTACTACATACAGAGTCCAGGATTATATTGGCCTAGATAGGCAATAAACAGAGTATGTAAGTAGGATGTTGATATCATGGGATTTGGCAATAGAAGAGGGAACTGTAAGGGACTACAGTACTAAAATATCTAAAGGTAACAGTGGTAGAACTCTAAGCAAGGAGCCAAAGAAGGAATCCTGTAAGAGAGGGACAAAGGCAGGGAAAGCATTTGGGGTCAGAGGAAGGAAAGGGGATGGGAAGTAACAGACATTATCTCATTTCATCCTCTCATCAATTTTACCAAGCTCATTGTTGTCAAACAACATCCTTAAGGTCAAGTGGCTAATAAATCCAATCGATCTGATCTAATCGACTATGACCAAATTTTTACTCACAGGGAATAAGGTAGAAAGTAGAGACAAAATTGGACCAGCGGCAGGGTGACATGCCGCTGACTGACAGGCCCAGAGTTCTTTAAATGCCCCTTGCCACGAAACAGGGCTAGTTCCAGAAGTACTAGACGGCACTTGAGAAGAGGGCACTTGAGCAATAAAGGGTGAAGAAAACTGAATCAGGGTGCTTAGACATTAATCCATTATTGGACCACACCTGGATCTCTCGATAGCTTTGTGGGTTCATTTTTCATTATGGTAAAAAATATAGAATATAAAATTTACAAATTTTAACCATTTTTACTGTGCAATTTAGTGGCATTAAGTACATTCACAATGTTACGCAATTATCAAGACTATCCTATAGGTTGTTTTTTTTTTTTAAACTGTTCTCTAGTCTTCACTGAGCTTACTTAGCACAGTCCTATGCACCTAGAAAGTACTCCAAAAATACATGGTTAATTTGTCTAGATACTATCATATCCATGTGACAAGGATGTGGTCACTATGCTTGTGTTCCCAAGTCACTGGTGCCTAAATGGAGCTTCTGTGAGTACTGACCATGTGGTCATGGGAACTCAATCACCCTGGGAATAGTAATCAGTGGTTCTCCTTTGAGCTTTTGCCTAATACATTCTGTTCCATGTCCTCACACAGATTATTATAAATAGGACATTTGTATAGAACTATGGCTATAGCCAAAGTCTTCCTACACAAATCTTCCTTAGATTAGGGGTTAGGAGCTATTTACGTAAGCTAATCGGATATATAATTATTAAATGGCCACAAGCCCTCAATTTTTCTTTCATGTGCCTATCCCTCTGGAAGGGAAATGTATTTGTCTGGAATGAGACGAACTTTGTACATGTTTGTTTGTTTCTTAAATCAACTTTACTGAGGTATAATTTACATACATTATAACTCACACATTTAATGTATAGATATCATGTACAGATTTTACAAACTACATTATATCAGAGAGTTAGAATAATTGAATAAATCTCTATTCTGAAACAACAAATATTTGGGGATTCTTGTATCATTCCCTTTTATATGCAAGTATATGGATAGATTATAGAGATACTTAATCCAGAAACTTCAAGCATTTTTCTTCTTCTGATTTAGCAGCATCAAAAAAGGAAAATGCTTTAAAAAATTTACTGATGTTCAATTTCAGGCATTAAATTTCAAGAAAAAATACAAAAACTAGAAAACAAACAGATGAAGGGACTAGTATTGAAAAGTCTAGAAAATCATATTCTAGAAGGAACACATTAAAGAATTAAGAGTTCTTAAAAGAAAAAAAATATGGTGAGGTTGGGTAGGGTGAGGAAGGGTAATATTGGTCTCAAAAAGTTGAAAAATTTTATATGGAAAGATGACAAAACTTGTTCAGTGTATGGCTCCAAGTGGGCAAAAGTACCAGAGGGAAGTTACTGCAGGGCAGAGTTTATATAAGGAAGAACTTCTAAGAGGCAGAGAGAGTCTCCAAACAGAATGGCTGAAGTATAAATTATCCCTGCACTGTAATTGTTCAAAAAGAGGCAAAAAAACATCTTTATAAGAAGCTGGGGCAAGAACAGAAGAAATAGATTAGCTGGCTTCATAAATTCGGTCGAATTCCATTCTGAGATTATGTAATCCAGGGACTTCTTGTACTTGAAAGCCAGATGTCAGGGAAACCATAATTCAAAGACGTAAAACCCCCAGATCATGGTCTGGTCAAGAACAAAGAACTAAGACTAGACAGAAGCATGAGCAGACACAGGTTTCCTCCTATAGGTACATACAGACACACACATAAACATCCAACCTTCCCGTACTTCCTGGGAAGGAAACATAAGAATAACTTAGAAAAAAAAAGACAGAAAACCTATTCTGTCTTTCCCACCAAATTCTACTTTATGTTCCCTCATCTATGTTAACAGTATCACTGGCTACCCAATTATGCAGAATAAAACCTTAATGTTTGACTCTTCCATCTTCCTCCAGTTTCTAAGCCTATCCCAGAAATACCTCTCAGCTGTTCTTTACCTTTATACCTTGTATTGCCATTGTTCTTGGTAAAACTTTTTTTAATAAAGATTTTATTTATTTGACAGAGACACAACAAGAGAGTGAACATAAACAGGGGAGTGGGAGAGGGAGAAGCAGGCTTCGTGCTGATCAGGGAGCCCGATGTGGGGCTGGATCCCAGGACCCTGGGATCATGACCTCAGTGGAAGGCAGCTGCTTAGCAACTGAGCCACCCAGGCACCCCTGTTCTTGGTGAGTCTCTTGCTACTGATTCCTAACTAGTCATCCTGCCTATTATCTCCCCCTGCTAAAGGTAATCTTTCTCAACCAAACTGGATCATATCACTCTAACCTGCTCAAAAATCTATATCGACTCCTTAATGCCTACAAGCTAAAGTTCAAATTCTTTGGTATGGCCCTCAGTACCATCTCAATCAAGCCCTCACACTCCTTACTTTGCCTGCCCATAGTATCTCATGCTTTGTCATTCTTGAAAGCCATACACTTCTCTACTCCGTGTCTTTGTTCACCTGTTTTCAAGTGCCGCCTTCCCCACTCCCATCTGTGCATATTTTACTCAGTTTTCAAGGCTCAAGCAAATGCTACCTATCTCGTAAAGCTATCCTTAATGTTTCTACCTCACAACCCCTACCTCCCTCCCTTGGAATTAAATGCTTCTGTTAGAGCTGATAATACTTTCCCTTCATCCCTCATTTCTGCACTTAATAATCATGCTTGAAATTTCAGTTTTGGGGGTCCAAACTTATCCACACCCACTATAAATCTTTAAAGGCAGAGAAGAGGCCTCATTTATTCCTATAGCTAACCTTGTCAGACCCTTGGTGCCAAGGTTTAACACAGTACCTTCCATGTAACAAATGCTTGATAAATGTTTATTAAATTGATCTGGACTGTTGATGAGAACTGTTAGACTTCTATCCATGGCTCAACACTTAAAAATTGTAACTTCTATTAAACTTCTAATCAAAAGTGTAGAAATTAATAAACGTTTCTTATCCTATTAATCTAACATCTCTGAGCCAACAACAATTCTAATACTTACATTCACTAGGAGAGAGAAATCAGTGACCAGTTGGCTAAGTTCAATTAAGTCCTTAAAAAGAGAGAAGAAAAGGAAGTTACTTACTTTTTTGCCTCACAGCCACCAAAATGAAAATAATTTTTAACGTACCGCTTCTAAGGTTTCCCATGATTCTGCAGCATTTTCATCTCGAGGAATTTCAGGCAACGCATATACCTGAGTCATATTCTGTTGATCGGCTTCAGCCTCAGCAGTGTGAAATGTTCCTGGATGAACACAGCCTCATGTTTAGGGTTTATGAGCTTTGTTAGAAAGCAGACAGCATAAATCAATTTTGTAAAACAATTCCCATGTAAAATGTTAGCTAACTGAATTCAGGCTGGAAGTAAATTGATTATTCCGTAGAAATAGATACATCTATGGGCAGATTGTTTCCAGGTTAACGAATATTTTTTTCTTTAATTCTACAAAGTCATCTCACAAAAATGGCTACAGATGCCATCCACCCAGTCTGAATAACTAGAGCTCAGTGAGGAAGAAGCACTGAAGGAAAACTATTCTATTTGGCCAACATTCCATATAGAGATACCCACTAGAAATAGGTTTCACACTTGCAATGTAAATCATTAACCTTTTCTTTGGGGATTTTAGTAATAAGTATCAGATTCATACAGTATTAAAAGTAGGAAAGTGATTTTTTTTGCACTAAAAATTAGTCATTTGGGGTAACAATATATCTGTCATCAAATGAACACCTCTTATTGTGTGGATCTTTTTGTACATCTTTCTTCTAAGAGGCATTTTTCTAGCCCATTTCTCCATTACTTCTATTTCTTTCCTGAGTTTTAAAAAAGTCATCAACCCCCTAAGGCCTTCCTCAGTAAAACTGGTATGATAATGATTTAATTTACACTCCAAACCCATCTTCAAGTCTTTATTTCCTTGTATTGGTTTTACCAACCATTCATTCATTAAACTGATATGGACTGAATGACCACTAAATGCCAATCAGTGTACTCAGGTAGCACAGAAACAATGGTAAACCACAAAAGTAGCTCCAGGGAGTCAACATAGTACAATGGTTAAGAGCATGGGCCTAGTCAGAAAGACCTGGGTTAGAATCCTGACTTAGCTAATGACTAGCTAATTTTCCTCATTTTTTTAAAAATAAGGTGAAAGGGGCACCTGGCTGGCTCAGTTGGAAGAACATGTGATTCTTGATCTTGGGGTTGTGAGTTTGATCTCCATGTTGGGTGCAGACATTACTTAAATGAATAAATAAAACTTTTAAAAAAGAATAAAATAAGGTGATAAGTATTTATTTTGCACTGTGGCTGGCTTAAAAATTGAGTATAAGTGGCTTAATAGTTACTACTATAATAACTAACTATTGCTATTGCTACTATTATTAATGGAATTTACCATATTATGTACAATATACTATATTAACAGGCAAGTTCAGAATAGCCTGATAACAACTATGATATGAGTAAATATGGAACACTGTATCAGTACAGAAGAGAGGTATTTAACCTAGACTTGGGGAGGGGAGAGTAGTTGGAGGTTGTGAAGCAGAAGCCTGAGGATGAACAGCAATTACATAGGTGAACTGGGGGCAAAGATGGAGGGAAAAGCAGAGAGTATTCAGGTCAGGGAAAATAATATGTGCATAGGTTTGGGAACTGGAAAGAATTCAAACGAAATACAGACTATGAAAGAGAAAAGCAAAGACTGAGCTTTTCAGGAAATCAAAGGTGACATTATTCATGGTATTATAAACTATGCTGAAGAATTTTGTTTTTCTCTAAGATCAATAGAGAACTATTAAAAGGAGTTGGACACTACTGGGAAGCTGGAGGGTGCTATAATCAGATTTTAGATTTAGAAAGGGAACCATAGCTATAGTGTGAAGAACAGATCAAGGATGAAGTTGAAAGGTAAAAAAGAAATTAAAAAAAAAAATCAGAGTGAAAAACCAGTCAGGAAGCTTTGCAGTATGTCCAGTGCAAAATGATGATGGTCTGCTCTAGGACAGTGGCACTGGAAATGGAAAGAAGACATCGGAAGGTCTAATTCCTTTTGTACCCTTACTTCAAGCTCAAAATACCTACCACTCTGGTACCTGTTACATATTGTGTTGGGTACCAGAGATGAGAAAATGAATAATACAAAAGAGATGTTCTCAAGGAACTTATATTCTAGAAGAGTCGTACATACATAGAGACAATCCTAAAACAGTAAGAGTCTAATTGGGAAGGTATCTGACCCAGCTTGGTGTGGTGTGCAGTTTACGAGACAGCTTCCTTAAAAAGGTGATTTTTTTTAAAGCTTTTATTCATTTATTTGACAGAGAGAGACACAGTGAGAGTGAACACAAGCAGGGGAAGTGGGAGAGGGAGAAGTAGGCTTTCTGCTGAGCAGGGAGCCCGATGTGGGGCTCAATCCCAGGACCCTGGGATCATGACCTAAGCCCTTCGAAGGCAGACGCCCAATGACTGAGCCACCCAGGTTCCCCAGAAAAGGTGATCTTATGAGATGAAGAAAACAGGAATATAAATTCTACACAGAGAGACCGGCATAAAAAAGGCCCTCAGAGAAGAAAAAATAAAACAACATAAAATCAGCAGGTTGGTCTTGTCAAAGAATAAAGTAAAAGACACAAAGTTACAAACACAGAACATTACACAGATGATTAGGAGGGTCCTTACTGTAGACTAGTTAAAGACTTTGGACTTTATCTGGCTGACAGTCCAGAGATACTAAAGTGTTACATGCAAGGACATGATATAGTGATGTGTAACACCTGATCTATTAAAAGTCATAACTCAAGTTCATCTTCTCAATTTTTTTCATCCTAGCATATTCTATAAAATTGCATTGCTATTTTACTTTTGAAACTTACGAATGTTTTTACTTCTTGAGAAGAAGAATCTCCTTGAATTGTTTAAGAAGGGTATAATCAATTAACTAAAGAAATATTTTGTAGGCTTATCAGAATTGATAGTGTTCTTTTAGTTTTGAAATTTAGCTTATCTGAATACATTTCCTTATCTTAAAGGAAGAGCAAAAACATTAGAGTAAGTTTTACATTACAACATTATGGCAAGTATCCAATATTTTAAAAGCTCTCTGATTTTTTACAAATGTTTAAAAGAGTTACTTACCTTATGTTCTAACTTATCACGTGAAGATACTTTCATTTTCACATCAGTCAAGATAAATGAATTATTCTAAGACCGCTTATACTTAATATTTCTATTGTAATAACCCCAACATCTTTAAGAGGATGATGAATAATGATAATTTTATCATTAACAGACCAAATGTAAAGTAGAACTTTATAATTACAACATCCACTTAAAGGATTTTTATAAGCCATAGCCTTTATACTATTACAGAGGATTTAAATGAAGTATGCCAGGGTATACAACAAAATGAGGGGAGATTGTCATAAATAAATTCTTTATCTAAAAGAATGAAGAAGGGGTGGGAAATGTTTGGCATTTTAAGCAAACATAAAAGATTTCCCCCGGTAAAAGTGTTTAAGTCATTTACGTCTCACTTGAAACCAAACTGCGTATGCATCTTAGTTCAAATGAAGTCTTAGAACAAAGAAATCTGTTCTATTCCATGGAAAATCCTGCTGTAAACTTACAACTCTGAACATCACTAATCAATCTGAGGCATAACTAACAATTAAGAAAGAAACCCTTTAATTTTTCCAACTTCCATAATTCATTTATTCTAGCTTATATTAGAAATCACTACCTCAGTGAACATCCACTGACTTTGAACTTTTAGGAACTGCTACAGACACAATGAGGGAAAACACTGAGACAGATTATAGCTGCAGGAAAGAAGGATGAAGAACACACCCTGTGCACAGAAGTCAAATTGCTATTGTTTTATATGATGAAATCATCTAAGATAGTTCCATCCAAATGCAAACAACTCCAAGTGTAAAGGGCATGAAGAATACATATATCACTTCCCACTGTTTTTCAAATTCTAGTTTTAAGAAATTATTGACTACAAACTCATATAAACATGAAGATATTTTTAGTTGACGCTAATAACACAGATCTAAGACTTTTTCTTTGTCTCCATACATGCAAACATTCTTTCTTTGTCTTTCTCTCTGTATTTCATGAAAGGCAATGATTCTAACTAAGAATTATAACACAACATGTAAGAAATTTCCATTAAACTTCAATGTTAGGAAAAGTTTCATTATAAGTCTAAATTAATTCAAAGGCATTTCCTGAATTTTTCATATTCTGACAGCTTAAAAATAGTGAAATTAATCTCTTGATCATCTATACCAACCTATATATCAAAATAAAATGACTTCTAAATCATGGCTTGACTTAGCCGCAAAAGAGGATTTTTAAGAAAATTAAAACCAACAGAAAACGTATCTTCTGAATAATATACAAAACTATCCACGTTCTTCACAAAACTGTTCACTACATGTATATATACCTGTGATAAAATCTGATATTTCATCAAATTCAATACATGATCTGAAGTTCCCAACGGTTTTAAGATGGGATTCTTTTGTGAATATTTGTTTAAAATGTAATAAGATTCTGTTCCTATTGGACTGGTGAACTGTTATGTGTTGGATGGGGAGTAAGAAAGACAAAGATGGAGAGAAGCACTGATTCACTCTATATGACTTGATATACCTTTCTAAATACAAATCAAATTTGTAGGTTCATCACTTCTCTTGGTTGGAAGCAATATGCTAAAAATGAAACCAGACACACAAATGAGACAGAAGGGAGTTTCTCAGATCAAGCAAGATTGGCAGAGAAGATTTGCTTTAGGAACTCTCAGAATCTGGACAAAAGCAGCAGCAAAATCATCACAGCTTCCCCCGAAACTTAATAAGCTTCCTTTACTCTCCCCAGAACATAAAACGTCCTATTCTACTTGTTATTTCTATCTGTAAATGAAAAACTATTTTTGTATTTTGATCTCGCTCATGGAAATGTGGCAACATTGCTCCTGAATCTCTGCTGATATTTCCAACCAATTTATTTAGAATCAGATTGAATTTTTAAAGGAAGAAGTATTTTAAGGCACTTAACTTCTATGCAAATCAAACACATTTTTTTTCTGTATAGGCTGTCACTACTATAATGAGTACCTAAAGCAAAAACAAAGAAAAACCAGAAAGCACAGGATAAAAACACGTAGAATGACAAAAAAGAGTCCACAACTAGTAGAACACCCATGCCGCAAACTCACTTCCCACCCCACTGTTAATGTCTTATGTAAATTAGTTGCTTTGTTTTTTTCTTTCCCATCCTCTCAATTATTTGTTAATATTATTTTTGGATTTAAGGCAACCTAGTAGAAACTCTCACATTTGGTGAAATACTCAGGCACTCAGTGAGACGTTCATTTTAACTACTTAATGTTCACAATGGATTCAAAATCAAAGCACGATTTCACCAGTACACCATTTGGAATTTTAAATTCTATACATTGTTTTAGGTGTAACTTAGGTATTTTATAAATAAAATGACTGTCTCAATCAAGTCAGCACTAGCTACAGAGATTTAATCCTGTAGTTTCTCCCAGGGGTAAGTGATTATTAGGTCTTCAGCTAATCTGATGTTGATTAGCTAATCTGAAATTGAAAAATTTGAGAATCAAGAGTTGGAAAATGAATCTCTTCATTTCATCTCCTTCATCCTCTAGCTCTGCTTCAATCTTTTTCATGTTCTCTCTATACGTGCTTCCTCAAATATTGATTTTATATATATTATAGATGTGTGTGTATATGTGTGTGTGTATACATATATACATAAATATGTAACACCATATATTTTAACACCAGTCAGCTTCCTACAGAGAAATTTAATTGCCAGCAAACTGTTCAACTGCCTTCTTCTAATAATCACCCAGTTCCTCTGATGATATATACACCCAAGTTTGTTGAGCCCAAACAGTCCTACTGGCAGAAACTCAATGCAATAAAAAAATGCAAATTAAAGCAAGTTTTAGAATAGTATTATATTGTGAGAAACTCTCAGAACTCAAAATTTTTGTTTGGCTAGGGAATTGCTGGTGATGGGCAATTCAAAACTAAATAGCAAGAGAGACTTGATGTCAGCAACTCCAGAAATTCCAGCCTATCTTCACTGCTGTTACCACCATCACAACTGTTACAATGTCTAGGTAATTAAGGAGTCTAGGTGATTAGACACTGTCACAACGTCCAGGTGAGCTGCTTCTCTATACTTGCACATCAAGTATCAGTTCACACTAAGTAATATCAGCAGCATTTATCCTAATCAATATATGGTGGTAGTAAATATACATGGACAGAATAATGTAAACAGTAACTACAAACTATCAAAAGCAATCTTCCCAAATATTCTTCAACTGAGGGGCTGAGTGCTAACATCTCCTTCTCTGCAAAACACTTCAGGTACTGGTTATCCACAGAGTGTAGTGAGTATAGTGCATCTGAAATTACAAAACTGTCTCTAAAAAGATATTTATTCATTCACATTTATGAAACATTTACATATGGTCCACTATGTGCCAAGCACTATATACTATGTGCTAGGTACTAAGGATACAAGAAAAGCAAGATTACCAAGAAACTGTGGATGATGGCCTGTTTCCCCTAATTTTTTAAATTTCAAGTTCCCTATACATTACTGGATCATAAGCAGCAAAATAAAATGTTAAAAAATGATCTGGTTTTGGAGACAGGGAATGGAGCCTCCTACATAAATAAAAAAGATGAAAACTGGACAGGTATAACATCTCTCGGATTCTAATTTATATTTAGACCCCACCTTTACCATTAAGATTTCAAGCATCTTAGAACATATATAAAATGGTAATAAGATCACATAAATTAAAAGAGAAACAAAAAAGGAAATATGAGCACAGCAATGATAAAATAAAGCCAGGACAGTTAAAAACTTTGGCTTTTGGTAGTTAAAAATATTCAGATGTCAGCATTCCAGTAAATAACTCAAGTAGAGAAACCTTATCAGTTAAGCCATCCAATACCCACAGGATTAAAAAAAGACAAATGCTTTCAAGTACTATTATATATTAAACTAAGAATTTTTTTTCAGGGTTCCTTATAAAAGCATTACTATAATGCAATTAACAATGATCAATTACATCCTTAAAAAATATAATGACAAGTTTTGCTGGACTGTTTCTTAGAGTATCACTTCATAAAAGCTGATAGCATGACCCCCAATGCAGATACATATTTTTTAGTGTTCTAAGTTAAATTCAGAAAACTGAGCTTGTGGATCTAACATACCCTATGAAAGAAAATCAGAATGCCAAAGAAAGAGGCATACCTGATTAGGCTACTCCTGTACCTGGACATGAAGGGGGCATGCTCTGAAATCAAGAATGACGTTCTCCTTAGGGAATGTTTTAACTTTTTTTTTTTTTTTAAGATTTTATTTATTTATTTGACAGAGAGAGAGAGAGATCACAAGTAGGCAGAGAGGCAGGCAGAGAGAGAGGGGGAAGCAGGCTCCCTGCTGAGCAGAGAGCCCGATGCAGGGCTTGATCCCAGGACCCTGGGATCATGACCTGAGCCGAAGGCAGAGGCCTAACCCACTGAGCCACCCAGGTGCCCCAACTTTTATTTTTAATACATAGACAAATAGGTACTTGAAGCCTAGAAGTTCCACTCTATACAGCATAGCTTCAAAATTTTTATCCTACAAAACTTTTAGGGTATGCATACCGAGGCACACTCCAGGTCCAAGAATTCAACAAACTGAAAAAGAACATGATCTATGGAAACTTATGTATCTGCAGGAGCTATATAAGATAGTAAACTTTAATGAACTGCATTACTATGATCAAAGAATAAGACTTAGTACATTACCACCAACAGTCATGGATCTGGTCAAAGAAGGCTGTAATAAAGTTTCTTCATCATTAAACTGTTTCTTAAGTTCTTCTACAGATTCCAGATGGAGTTGAAGAAATTCTGCTGTTGCTGCTGATGCTTCTTCTTTAACAGGATCTATCATTCTCTTCAGAAGTACCAGGTCATCCTTTCGGACTTTCAAACAAAGTTTCTCCATTTCTCGGATATTAGAACGGAGTTGCTATAAAAGAAAAAAAAATCATTAAAGCCACCATCTGTTAATCTAAAATACCTTCATTTTCAGAGGTAACCTATGATAATGGTCATGAATGGAAATGATTTCAAGTATTCTCTACAACAGAAGGTATACATAACATTGCTCTATTTTTCATGTCTCTAGCCAAACAGAGCTTAAGAACTCATATCTTCATGCTTTGAATTTATTTAGCATTTTTTTCCTTCATTAAATGTGATTATTACAAAGGTAACGGATACTCTTCATAATAAATCAGATGCTGTAGACATATGAAGAAAAAATGATTTCCCCCTTCACCAATACAACTTCCTCTCTTAATCCAGTCCCTTCCACACATTTCCCACTGCTCATGAAAACATTAACACATATAGACTTTCCTTCTTTTTACAAAAAAATGGACTACATTGTAATAATCTCTAATTTGTTATTCCTCACCCCAATAATATAACAGTATCATCATGGATATTCTTCTTGATTTAAGAATGTACCAGGGGCGCCTGGGTGGCTCAGTGGGTTAAAGACTCTGCCTTCGGCTTGGGTCATGATCCCGGGGTCCTGGGATTGAGCCCCGCATCGGGCTCTCTGCTCAGCGGGGAACCTGCTTCTTCCTCTCTCTCTGCCTGCCTCTCTGCCTACTTGTGATCTCTGTCAAATAAAAAAATAAAATCTTTAAAAAAAAAAAAAAAAAAGAATGTACCATATTCCATGGTACAGATGTAAAATTATTTATTCAATGACTCCTGCAAATGATCAACATTCATGTTGTTTCCAAAACAGAAGTCCTTGAATATATCCTGATACACCATAATTGTATATATATATATTAGTATTATAGTATATGCTATATACTACATTTTGTAAAAATGATTCCCAAAAGTGAGAGTACTCAAAGGATCGTGTGCATTTTTTTTAAGATTTTATTTATTTATTTGACAGAGAGAAATCACAAGTAGGCAGAGAGGGAGGCAGAGAGAGAGGGGAGGAAGCAGGCTCCCTGCCAAGCAGAGAGCCCAATGCGGCACTCGACCTCAGGACCCTGAGATCATGACCTAATCCGAAGGCAGAGGCTTAACCCACTGAGCCACCCAGGCGCCCAGATTATGTGCATTCTTATTTCAATAGCTATTGTCAGTTTTTTCTAAGTAACAATTCATGCTACCACTGAAGTATGAGTGCCCATTTCCCCACATACTGCCAGTACATGTTATCTCACGGTTGCTTCAATTTGCATTTCAGAGTATAGCTGTCAGATTTATATCAAGTGATTTCTCACTCTTTTTAGAATCATCTACTGACATAATCATCAATTTTCCTCTAATATGCTGATGAGTTATGGGTAGGTTTCATAAAATATGCCCTCTTTACATTCCTGAGATAAACTCTTCCTGATAATACATATAATTTTTTGGATTCAATCAGTTAATAATTTATTTGGACTTTCAACACACGTCCGTCTATATGTGTGTGTACTTGTGTGTGCATACATGAATGGTGTGTGTCTATATTATCTTTACCAGATTTAAATTCACTTTAACAAGTTCAAGGTTGTGCTAGCTTCACAGAATGAACTGGGGAGCCTTCCATGTTTTCCAATGGACTATACTTTGAAAAACATAAAAACCAACTATTCTTTGACAATGAAATAGAACTTGCAAGAATGATATGAGTATGATACTTCCAAAAAATGATGATCTCTATAATATTTATCATAAAATTTAGAATATATTCTAAGGCACTGGGTAGCTAGGTTGGTTGAGAGTCTGCCTTTGGCTCAGGTCACAATCCCAGGGTCCTGGGATCAAGTCCCACATTGGGCTCCCTCCTCAGCAAGGAGTCCACTTCTCCTTCTCCCTCTGCCCCTCCCCCAGCTTGTACTCTCGCTCGCTCACTCACTCTCTCAAATAAGTAAAATCTTAAAAAAAGGAATATATTTTAATATTTCTCACATAATATTTTAATTCTTCTACCCTATCTCACTTTCACAGGTACTAATGCAAATTCTGTATGACAGGACAGAATGTATTAATTTCTTTTATTTCTCAAGTACCTATTCTGGGTGAGGTGTTACATCCTGTATTATTACATTTCACATTATTACATTACAGAAAAATCAGAACAAAGAAAACTTGTTAAGGATTTACTTAATTTTGCCTAGCAGCAAAGCTCAATTAAAACCCGGGTATTTTTTTTATTAAGTTTTCATTTTAATTCAGCACGGTATTATATTAGTTTCAGGTGTACAATACAGGGATTCAACAATTCCATACAACACCCAGTGCTCATCACAAGTGCCCTCCTTAATCCCCATCACCAATTTTACCCATCTCCTACCTTCCTCCTCTCTGGTAACTATCAGTTTGTTCTCTAGAGTTAACAGTCTGTTTCTTGGTTTCTCGTTTTTCCTTTGCTCATTTGTTTTGTTTCTTAAATTCCACATATCAGTGAGATCTTATGGTATTTGTCTTTCTCTGACTGATTTCACTTAGCATTATACTCTCTGGCTCCATCCCTGGTGTTGCACATGGCAAGATTTCATTTTTTTTAATGGCTGAATAATATTCTGGTGTGTGTGTGTGTGCATGACATCTTCTTTATCCATTCATCTATCCATGGGAACCTGGCCTGCTTCCATAATTTGGCTACTTTAAATAATACCACCATAAACATAGGGGTGCATGTATCTCTTTAAATTAGAGCTTTTGTATTTTGGGGGTAAATAACCAGTAATACAATTACTAGACTGTAGGGTAGTTCTATTTTTAACTTTCTGAGGAACCTCCTTACTGTTTTCCATAGTGGCTGCATCAATTTGCATTCCTACGAACAGTGCATAGAGGATTCCTTTTTCTCCATAAACTCACCAACATTTATTTCTTGTGTTTTGATTTTAGCCATTCTGACAAGTGTGAGATGATATCTCATTGTAGTTTTGATTTGCATTTCCCTGATGATGAGTGATGTTGAGTATCTTTTCATGTGTCTGTTGGCCATCTGGATGTCTTCTTTGAAGAAATGTCTATTCATGTCTTCTGCCCATTTTTAATTGGATTATCTGTTTTGGGGGTGTTGAGTTGTATTAGTTCTTTATATTTTGGATACTAATCCTTTATTGGATATGTCATTTGCAAATATCTTCTTGCATTCAGTAGGCTGCCTTTTAGTTTTGTTGACTGTTTCCTTTACTGTGCAGAAGGTTTTTATTTTGATGTAGTCCCAACAGTTTATTTCCCTTCCCTCAGGAGATCTATCTAGAAGAATGTTGCTATGATCAATGTCAGAAAAATTACTGCCTGTGCTGCTCTCTTCTAGGATTTTTATGAAAACCCAGGTATTCTCAAAAGTCCAGCTACCTTCCCATTAAACTATAACCATAATTCATATATACATGTGTTCATATATATGTTCAATAATATATATGTTCATATACATTCATTCATATATTCATATGTTTATATATATATATATATATATATATATATATATTTCCTTAATATAATCAAAAGACCCATTTTATTCTAGTAAAATCAAAAACAATTCTGGAAAGAAGAGTTTAGCTACAGCCTAGTGCATTTTGTAAGATGTTCTGGGTGAATAAAAAAGTTGTGCTTCTATCCTGCCATGACTCTATACTTCCTTTAATCATCTGTCACTCTTATGTGAACTAAAAAACCTAAGGATAACTGTAAACTAAAAATATGTGATATGCAAACATTAATATGGAAAAATCACAGAACATATAGGCCTATGTTATCATCCAGTCCAACCTTATGATTTTACAAGAGGGAAAATGGACTCCAGATGAACACAGTGGTAGAATTAAGTCTAGTGTCCAGTTTTCAAGTGCTGGAACAGTATTATTTCTAACATACCACAAACTCTTGGCTGTACAATTCCTTTCTGAACTATAGTTGTAAAACTTGGTTCAATAGCTGTCACATAGTACATAGAAATATTTTAGGCAGTATTATCTTGGAGAAGCATTTAAGTTTCTGCAGCTAATGAACATTTGCCTATGACATATTCTTCCTATTTTATACAATTTGCACATAAATTTATGTCCCCCATCAAACTATGGTGTCCAGAATTCTGTTACTAAGGGTGGAGAGGAAAATACTAAGAGAAAGAAAGAAAACACCCACTGAACTATAAAATCTGATACTATAGTATCAAAAGCACAAATAATGGCTATATTTTTATTAAAACTGTAAGTTGTCCATTGTACTATGTATTTACCTTTTTTGTCTTATTTTATCTTTACCTTATTTTATCCTCATTTTACAGAAGAGAAAATTAAAGCAAGACATTTTTTTTAAAAAGCCTAGAATTATACTTCTAGCAAAAAAGTACAGCCAGGAGTTAAATCCAGGCTACAGAGCATATGTTCTCAACAATTTTTCTATATAGCTATACTACCCAACAGAAATATAATGCAAACCACAAATGCAAGGCATATGCATAGTTTCAGATTTTTTTTTTTAATTTTATTTATTTATTTGACAGAAATCACAAGTAGGCAGAGAGGCAGGCAGAGAGAGAGGAGGAAGCAGACTCCCCGCTGAGCAGAGAGCCCGATGCGGGGCTCGATCCCAGGACCCTGGGATCATGACCCGAGCCGAAAGGCAGAGGCTTTAACCCACTGAGCCACCCAGGCGCCCCCACAGTTTCAGATTTTCTAATAGTCACGTTAAAAAGTAAAAAGGTGAAGCGAATTTTAATGTTTTATTTAACCCAATACATCCAAAATATCATTTAAACATGTAATTAACGTAAAATTATTAAATATTGTACATTCACAGCACATTTCAAACTAGTCACAATTTTTTAATGTGGGGCTTGAACTCATGACTCTGAGATCAAGACCCAGACATTTAACAGACTAAGCCACTCAGGTGCCCCAAACTAGCCACATTTTAAGTGTTCAACAATTACATGTGACTAAGAGGTACCATATTGGACAGCACAGCTATGGAATCTCTCCAAAATAA